ATTTTCTGCTTTTGCTATGTTGCAAGTTTTAATGGGCGTGTTGTAGTGGGGTCCATGGTAATCCAGCACCGGGGTGAGACGGATGAGTAGGGAATATTTTCCAACGTTGAGGAGCGGAAGATGGGGAAGTGAAGAAGGAGAAGACAAAGGAGGAGACGAAGGAGGACAAGAAGGAACGGTACTAAAAGATATTATTAGGGCATAGAGAGATGTACGAATGTAGGAAATGAAAGTAAGAAGTTAATATGTTTGTTTTCACACGGCAGGCTACCTAAGGATAAATATTAAGATTGTGTTACCAGTATTAAATCAATAACTATTTAAGCTTCATAAACAACTAGCTGCAATATTATTTTTTGGTTTATTAAAAACGTCTACCAGGGAAGGAACTACTCCTTTCGCTTCCGACTGCGTCGTCTTCATGAAGCAAGAAATATTTCTTGAGGGGTTCTATCCCTCAATATATATAATCTTTAATTCGATTTATATCATCGAAGACTGGAGCTTGGGCTTCATTTGTTAATTAAAAAATAATTCAAATTTTATGTTTACGAAATTTATCATAAAATTTAACTTTTGGATTATTTTAACAATATGCTGAAATTAACTGATCTAGTAATCATGAAAAAATACCTGAACAAAAAATACGATATAGACATAAGAAAAAATATAACAAAAATCCATTTACCTAAATTATTCTCTAGTGAACCCAAATGATCATTGCATTCAATAAATAATAAAATCAAGAGGTACTGAGTTATTTACACCATTCGCTGATTTTGATATTGAAATGGACATTCACCTGAAAAAAAGTTGGTGAGGACATATCACTGTTGCTACTGGAAATTATGTATCTCTGCTGTTACTGAAGGTCCTTGACGTATTTCTGCTGTTTTTAAACGTCCCTGACGTATCTGTGTGCTTACATATCCTTACCCCTCCACACAACTTCACCTCTATTATATGTGTACTTAAAAGATAAATTTGCACCTTGTATATTTATTCCTTATCTTCAGATATTCCATAGTGGAATGAAACGTCGTAGGAAATATGGTGCCGGCGGATGATGGGGAATTAGCCTCGGCTACCCTCATCTTTTGTCCGGTCGTGATGGTCGAGTGGTTAAGGTGCCTTGTACACCAGTTGCAGAGTCCTCCTGGCAGTATGGGTTCGAGTCACTTCAGGGTGTGAGTTTTCAGTTATATATATATATATATATATATATCTATATATATATATATATATATATATATATATATATATATATATATATATATATATATATATAATATATTATATTTATTGTAATTATATTTTATTTCATTTAAAATTTAATTACACAAAAGGGTTACAACATAGGTTACATGCCAGGTGCAAGGCTGCTTGGCACAGGTTGTCGAGTTCCTCCAGCTTCTAAGAAGGCGGGCAGAAACCGTAGATGCAGCGTGCCTTTCCTCTCTGGATCGCCACACTAAGGCGCTGAAAGAGGAAACTGGCAGTTCTAGGATCTCTAGTTGATTCAAAGAATGGCATAAAAAGAAAGGTGAAACGCCATGCAACCTCTGAAGAGTCAACCAACACAACACTTTTGCCCCCTATTAGACTATTTGACAGGAACTTCTTTTTGACGGCTAATAAAACGGAAGAAAGGGTCCTGAAAGATATTTTTGATAGAACGTTATCCCTACAGACAAAAATCAGAAAATACAATTGACAATTTACCATAAAAAAAAAAAAAACGGCCAACCTACTCATGAAAACCTCCCCAAATACCAAACAGAACGCCTTGAAGGAAACCAACGACGTCGTCTATGTCTTCGAATGCCCACTTGGGAACTGTAAGTCCCAAAGAACTCAGTATATAGGCAAGACAACAACGTCTTTTTCCAGGCGATTAATAATGCACAAACAACAGGGCTCCATCAAGAAACATATAATCTCTTCTCACGACCAGACCATCACCAGAGAAATCTTAACAAGCAACACAGAAATCATCGATAGATGCAACGATAGCAGGAGGCTCGACATCAGCGAGGCACTACACATCAAAAAGTCAGCACCAGCAATCAATAGCCAATTAATGCACAACTATATTCTACCCACTTCAAGACCCCGAACCAACATAGAAGCAGCAAGAGGAAGTATGGGCCAACAGGCCTTCTGCAGTTACTTCCATTCTTATGTTTTCATTCCCAAATTATACCCATTGTATCGTGTTCTGTCTTGAGTTTGTCACCTCATCTCTCACCTCACCCAAACCTTTTGTGTCATATCACCTCACCCAAAACGACTATAAGTACGATGAACTTTTATGTGTAAACTAAGTCTTTGAAAATGTAATAAGAAATTACGAAACGCGTTGAGGCGTCAGACAACAAATAAAAATAAATTTTGAAGAATTTATATTTTAATTACCATCGACAGTGAAGAAAAACATAAGAAATATTAAGAAAATTCGTGTTAGAATTATTAATCTTACCTCTTCGGTCATATTCAACAACATATATATAATTTTTTTCAGCAAGACCAATTGTCTTCTGTAAACCAATTAACTCGTCCTGCGTGTATTAACTCTGATCGTCGAGAAAAGTTCATTTAATCCAACAGAGAATTGATGGTTTGTTGATGCGCGGATTATCCCAGATTTCATCAGTTCACTCTGCTGTAAAGTCCTCTAAGCTCCCGATAACAGCTCCGGCTTTCTTCCAATGTGTGAACTATTTACAAGACAATAATTATTCAGCCCATTTTCCGGTAATCGACCACACCAGGGTTGAAAAAAAAATCCATGGTAATAGTAAATGTTAAAGCAGCGAAATATTGACGTTCTCTGAGCATCGGTCTCAATAAATTATGTGTTGCCTTGGTTCGAATGTGTCTGGCTTGGCAAAAGAGATGCATTTTTTACGAGATAGCAAATGAAGTGAGAGGGTTGAATTATTTCAACCCTTTGAACCTTCTCTGTACATAATATTTATGTATATTACACCTTGAGGTGTACTTAGCTTATAGATGTGAATACACTGAATATATTTTTGACTAAATTTATGTTTAAGCTCAAAATATTTTTACTGTATCGTCAGTATAAGCTGTCGTTATGACCTTAATATCCCTGCAAAGGTTGATTGGCTTCAGACTCGATTCCAAACCATACAAACAATTTGCGAAAAGGTATTAATAATATTCTTGCTCGGTGAACGTATGTCTATATATAATCGCTATACAAGCGTAATAATAGTGTTGCAAGAATGAACGATATTATCACCAATTTTATCTTATTTTGAAAAAATAAAAAAAAAACATGACTTGATATTAAATAAATCAGTATAATGAAGATATACCCGGTGCATAAACCATTCACTACCATGACTTTTATCTAGTAATTCATGAAAACGTAATTTACATGCAACTGGCTTGCTACAACAAAAGTCTGGCTTGTCTAAGAAACTTATAACGAAAGTCATGTCTTAGATATTAATCTAGCACATATACAGGGCATCACAAAAGTCTAGCCCCATAGGCAATGTATAAAAGAAAATCACTAGGAATTTTTTATATAATTTATTATGTTTCAGATTGTATTTCTGTTACCGTACATGCTCAAAATGATATCCTTTCACTTTAATCCAATTTCGAACGCGTTCAACGAATATAACAAGAGAATTAGAAGCTATTAAACCAAATACTTCCATGTTTAGGTCTGGCAACGAACGCTTATGAAATTGAACTGAAGTAAAGGGATGTCATTTTGAAGGGCTAATATAGTACATATATGTGCTATACTAGTCTTAGGAATATTTAAGTTAAATTTTTAGCTTTATTTTCCATTGTCATTTCTATAAATTGAATAGTTCTAAAATTCTACCTTGTTTTTCTCCATCACGTTGATATTTGCACGATAATCCACATCTTTTTGAGGTCCTCGACCAGGCCTCCACCCCCAGAAAGCAGCCCGTGACAGCTGACTAACACCCAGGTACCTATTTCACTGCTAGGTAACAAGGGAATAGGGTGAAAGAAACTCTGCCCATTGTTTCTTGCTGGCGCCTGGGATCGAACCCAGGACCACAGGATCACAAGTCCAGTGTGCTGTCCGCTCGGCCGACCGGCTCCCCACATAACTACAAAAAAAAAAACACTATTTTATCATGAGGAAAGGTTGAGTCTTGGCTCACCCAAGTTGCACTTTCAAATTTAGTTCTGATCCTATTTCAGATTTCCAGAGAGTTTAGCTAGAAAACTCCGATTCGAACACTTACGTTATTGGGAAAAGGAAAAGCGTGATAAGCTTGGAGGGTTGTATGGTGAGGGAAGATGAAGAGGGTGTGTGTACTCACCTATTTGTGCTTGCGGGGGTTGAGCTCTGGCTCTTTGTTCCCGCCTCTCAACTGTCAGTCAACTGGTGTACAGGTTCCTGAGCCTACTGGGCTCTATCATATCTACACTCGAAACTGTGTATGAAGTCAGCCTCCACCACATCACTGAAAAAAAAATTTCTAACGTCCCTGTGGCTCATTTGGGTACTCAGTTTCCACCTGCGTCCCCTTGTTCGCGTACCACCCGTGTTAAACAGTTCATCTTTATCTATCCTGTCAATTCCTCTGAGAATTTTGTAGGTAGTGACCATGTCTCCCCTTACTCTTCTGCGTTAATGTAGTTAGCGAAACGTGAGTGGGTGTATGTGTGTGTATGTGTGTGTGTGTGTGTGTGTGTGTGTGTGTGTGTGTGTGTGTGTGTGTGTGTGTGTGTGTGTGTGTGTGTGTGTGTGTGTGTGTGTGTGTGTGTGTGTGTGTGTGTGTGTGTGTGTGTGTGTGTGTGTGTGTGTGTGTGTGTGTGTGTGTGTGTGTGTGTGTGTGTGTGTGTGTGTGTGTGTGTGTGTGTGTGTGTGTGTGTGTGTGTCCAACACCTGGGCACCGCCGGGTACCTCCTCCCCCCCATCGAGAATAATAATGACACGCAAGCATTATCATTCCCTCTCCTCATCACCCTAACAAAAAACTTCAGGTTGCCTCTGTTAACTCGGGGGAAGTTACCCCCACGTCAATACGGGTCGGCAGCCTCGTTAAACTCGCTAAAACTGGTTTATCTCGGCAGGAAATTCGCGTCAGAAAGAACACCCGCTTCAGGGGGAAACTGGGAGTGTCAGCCCCAATAGTCGTCGAGGGCGTGTCAGTCCCAATAGTCGTCGAGGGCGTGCCAGTCCCAATAGTCGTCGAGGGCGTGTCAGACCCAATAGTCGTCGAGGGAGTGTCAGCCCCAATAGTCGTCGAGGACGTGTCAGTCCCAATAGTCGTCGAGGGCGTGTCAGACCCAATAGTCGTCGAGGGAGTGTCAGCCCCAATAGTCGTCGAGGACGTGTCAGTCCCAATAGTCGTCGGGAGCGTGTGGACTGTGTATAGCGATACGTGTACCAGTGACACTGGCACGTGATGACGCTTGACCTCTGGTGGACACCAGTCACAGCCACGATCTCTGGTGGACACCAGTCACAGCCACGACCTCTGGTGGACACCAGTCACAGCCACGACCTCTGGTGGACACCAGTCACAGCCACGACCTCTGGTGGACACCAGTCACAGCCACGACCTCTGGTGGACACCAGTCACAGCCACGACCTCTGGTGGACACGGCTCCAAACCAATGCTCAAAATTTCCATAAAACAACATGCTGTTGTGTTGCAAAAGTTTCCACACGCAACCAACATTTTTGTTTATATTATTGCAGGGACGAGCAGCTGACACAAGACTGATCCACCAAATTACTTTTGTGGACACAGACATGTTCAGCAATAAATTGAAAACAAATAATGTCTCATCATAGAAGTGAAAGTTTAAAATGCAAAATAACAAAAGTTTATGCAGGGAAATTCCATATTGGATTATATCAACTAACTTTAACGTGATATAATTCTTTATATATTATGGTACTCGTCAGTTTGTTCCAAAAAATATACTCGGTTTCTAAACCAGTACTTACCCATGTTTTTTCCCGAATCTATACATATATATTTCCAATGCTCCATGTTGTACTTTGTGTCGATGTATTGAACCAGCCCGTTTCCCAAAGTCAAGAAAACGATCAATTTAAAGTGTCCTCTCCTAACCTACCAGAGGACCCAAAACAGAAAACGGGACAGTATGTTACTTTCGCGAGCCGCTTCCATTTTCTGGTACGACGTATTGGCCTTATGTAATACATTCGAGTGAAATGCGAAGTTCTTTGTAGGAGGACAGGTTGGCTGAACACCCTATTAATATCCATTTATTATACCTATTCATCCATTTACACATTTCAATCATATCACTTCACACTTCATCTCTTTAGAGAATGTAAATTAGTTTTTCTAAGCTCTCTTCAAAAAGGAATTTTGTAATTCCTGGAATTAACTTTTTCATTCTACTTGCGATCTGAAGTGAAATTATGTCCATTTAAAGAGTGATGACTAAAACTGAACTGTATAATCTAAATTGGGCTTAAGAAAGATAAGATAAAGACATCTCATAAGACACAGAGAACTCGAGAATCCAGTAAGTTCAGTAGAACTTCGGTTTCAAGTCTTTTACCCTGTCGTAGCTCAGTCGATTAAGGCAGTGTCTGGGATACCCTCGGACGCAAGTTCGAATCCTCGTCACGGCCATTGTGGATTTGTTCCTTTCATAAGAATTTATGTACTAAGGAGCAACGCAGTCTGATGGACCATACTTGGCGGGTCCCCATTAAGTCTAACCCTTCTCTCCCATAATATATTTATTCTATCTTTGAAGCATTTTAAACCTTTGTTCTCATTAATGCTAGCCCAAATCTATATTCCTGTTTGTTTCAAAATCTGTACTTTGCAGGAGCCTTCAAAAAAATTAATTTATCCATCACGTCGTTTATCCATCAAGACCAAATCCATTGTTGGGGGTTTGGAACTATTATATAATCCAGATATCTTTATATCTGTAACTCCTTTGAAAAACTCGAGTTTTTCAACTATGAAAACTCTATGTACTATATATTATGTACTATATACAATGCTGGGTACGAGAGCAAATAACTCCTGGCTCCCGTTACAGGTTTTAACATTTTATATTGCCGTTGTTCATATAAAGCCTTGCCTATATAGTTTCCCTAAAACACGATCTGGCCAACAATTTACAAGCAGTCGACCCACCCGTTTCCAGGTAGCAGTTTCTTCCTCCCCTCCCCACCCTCTTTTGTTTCTAGTCTCTGTTTATATTTATTTTACGAGGACCAGAACGGCACGGCGTAGTCCAAGTGCGGCCTCTACAGTGTTGTGAATTGCTGAAGGATAATATATATATTTTCTGCTACCGATGGCTCTTATATATAATCTTCGCACTGTTGGATTTCTTGCGTGCATTCATACATTTATGTCTCGTCTTCGGGTGACTCCCAAGACTCACAATATGAACTATCTATGACTATGCTACTGATGCCTTAGCATTACCAGTCCCCGTGGCATAATGGTAAGACGCTCGCCTGGCGTTTCGCTAGTATTTTAGCCTGGGTTCGTAACCGGGCGGGGAAGGATTTACTGGGCGCCAATCCTTAACTGTAGCTTCTTTTCACCCAACAGTAAAATGGGTACCTAGTTGTCAAACGATTTAGCGGGGTCATGTTCCAGGGGGAATATTAGGATTAAGGACCTGCCCAAAACGCTAAGCATGCGAGTGGCTGTACAAGAATGTAAGAACTCTTGTATATATAAATAAAAATGAACAAAAGTAGGTACATCGTTTTCTTCCTCATGATTAAACATGAGGAATTTATCATTTATCAGCGTTATCATTTATCAACGTTAAACGTCATCAAAAGATAGATGGAAAGCAATAGTACTGATATGTGCCAGATCAATGTTAAGCAATAGGGCGGTAGTTTTCAACTAATCGATCAGTTCATGACCGACAAGTTGACATATTTCCTCGAGCAGAGGACCGAATCTTGGAGGATTATGAACTACAAGAATTTGATTCCTTTTCCTTCCATTCTATCGGGGAAAATATAGAAATGTTTCCCCGCCAATTGGTATAAGTCCTGTCTTCAGTGACTTGTCAGAGGTAGAGTAGTTGGGTCACCATCCTTCTGATGACCACTTCTACATAGTCATTATGTAGCAGTCTCCGTGGTGTAGGCAGTCTCCGTGGTGTAGGCAGTCTCCGTAGTGTAGGCAGTCTCCGTGGTGTAGTGGTAAGACACTCGCCTGGCGTTCCGCGAGCGCTATGTCATGGGTTCGTATTCTGGCCGGAGAGGATTTATTGGGCGCAATTCCTTAACTGTAGCCTCTGTTTAACGCAACAGTAAAATGTGTACTTGGATGAAAAAACGATTCTTCGCGGCAGGGGATCGTATTCCAGGGACCTGCCCGAAACGCTACGCGTACTAGTGGCTGTACAAAAATGTAACAACTCTTGTATATATCTCAAAAAAAAAAAAAAAATAGCGTACTGGTGTTAATAACGACACGCCCCCGCCCCCCCCCTCTCTCTCTCTCTCTCTCTCTCTCTCTCTCTCTCTCTCTCTCTCTCTCCTCTCTCCTCTCTCTCTCATCTCTCTCTCTCTCTCTCTCTCTCATCTCTCTCTCTCTCTCTCCTCTCTCTCTCCTCTCTCTCTCTCTCTCTCTCTCTCTCTCTCTCTCTCTCTCTCTCTTTATATCTGTACTTCCTTTGATTCTGAAAACTTTAAAAAAAACTATTTTCCGACCAAGCGCATTATAACTTTAAATATCAAAAGTCCATTCTCGAGGAAGTAGATAGATTGGGGCCCAATAGGCAAGGTTTCCACGTTAACTAAGAAATATGTATGTTAAGGAAGAGAAAGGAAGGAAGAGAAAGGAAGGAAGATATATATGTATAATGTGAAAGGAAAAAAAAAAAGAATCGGGTCCCTTTTACTACCGCAATATCGCGAATCAGGACACGATCGGCGAGGATTTTGAGAAAGAAATTCCAGAATCTCGCAAGTTTCATATCCGTTCGCAGTTTATCTGCTTCGTCAGAGAGACAGGTCCATTACGAAGCTGGTCGAGTTGTTGTGCCAGCGAGGGAGGGCACCGGGGCCACCTCTTGGAGGAAATTGTCTTCCAGCGGTAATTGTTATGACCGAGAGCGAGAAAACGAAAGTGTTATTTAGGTGAGGCAATGTTCTGAGAGTGTGTGAGTGTGTGTGTCTCTGAGTGTGTGTGTGTCTCTGTGTGTGAGTGAGGGGGGGGCAGCTGTTACTCTTCAGGCGATGAATGAGTGTTTATGATTTGCATGTTGGCTTCAGTAAGGTTATGTCTAATGAGAAAAGC